TTCTTGGTGTTCGAATCGATCGATGAAATATGAGCGCAACCGATGCGTTAATAGTTTGTTTACATTTTGTCACGGGTTTTGGATAATATTATAAACCTTAAAATTTACGGGCAAATTCGACGAAAAAGCACTCTCACTTACATTCTTCATTTAAGATATTGATTTTAGCAAAGTATAAGGCAAAATTAAGAGCGATACTTTCTTTAAGAACGCTATAACTACATATTTAACGGCCAAACCTAAACAGCGATCTAATCCGTCTCTTGAAAACAACTACAATACCGCTTCTGATAATAATATTTATAAACGCTGCAAACATTTTTATTCAATCTTATCGAGTGATTTTCGTGAAGATGAGTTTTTAAGTGAAGAATACTTTGGTTTCTGATTAGCTTTAACTGTTTTGCCATCAAAACGATTCGCACGAGACTACCGAATTCGCGAGGGTTTTATGTTAGTGCACGAGGAAGAAAAATGCTTCTCTTTGCATAAACTTGAAGCACTGACAAAGACATTCCAACACTTAAAACAATGGCAACCTACTTCTATTGTTTCTGCATTGTCTCTTGAAAGTGTGAGAATAGTTAACCGCTATGAAGTTCATAAGAGACCGAAAACGACGGTAGTCTTTGAAACTTCCTTTTTGCTCGCAAAGCCTAATGGGTACCCCACTTTTCACGGGCGACGTTTTTCAATGGGCGCGTTTCTGTAATGGTGACGCTGCTTTATTCCCCTCGCTCGCAATGTTCTAAACAATGACCTTCGTCCAGTAAACGGTTGACAGCAACATAAATGCTGGCTTCTGTCAATATAGTTCGTGTTCGTTTCGCTAATAATTTTGACTTCGCTAATAATTCCCGCTTCTTACACTATTCAAAGAGTTGACTTTCACGCTTTATTGAAACAAGCAAACATTCGCGGTTAAGATAGAAAGCGTACATACCGTCCATCCTATTTGCTTGAGTTAAACCATCCTCCATAGAGTCATTCATTAAACCAATTCCATCGACTAAATCTTGCGCTAAAACATTGTCTACACCATCTTGCATGAGTGCGAGAATATACGGATCCATTCTGGTTGACAGTGAAGACTGAATGATTCTCAAACGCTTAGGCGCTTTTTATATAAGGCAAGTTGAACTCAAAGTTCACGCAGGTCAAGGTCACCACGTGGATACTATGACTTAATTTGGGTTTAGGTCAAGGTTAGTCAAGGTTACCACGTGCCATAAACCAGTTGAAACCGGTTGAAACCGCGTCTCCTACGTGCTCACACGAAGGTTGTTCAAGGTCGCCTGAATTTGTTTTTGCTGAGTCAGCGAATTTGAATAAACATGTTGAACCAAAACCTATGTGTGAATGTATTGGTCATAAATTTTTATTTATTTGGTGGCTCTTTAAAGAGCATTTTTTTTTGGAGGTTTGTTTTACTGGTTCAGAAGTGCACCCATGACATTCACAAGTAAGTCGTTGCTCATTTGTTGCAGTTCCAACGTATTCGTTAGCAGCGAGATCGCCTTTTCTTGCTCGGCCACTTTTTTGCGGAGACGTAGCTCTTTCGAATGTTGTATGTGCTTCGCAGGTACTGTTGCCATAACATGTGGATCAAGGCGCACCTCCAACGTCTTTAGTGTGAATTTCTCCTTCATTTCTGGTAATGGTGTAGCATCCACCAAGGAGTTAGCGGGAAGAGACAAATCTCTCTCCACTTCCAACATTGCTTGGGTGATAAAAGCTTCTAGTTCAGGATCCATCGTTCACTGGTGTTGTCCCACTCAAGGTCGAATAGCGAATGTGCAGCGAATTATGAAAGTATTTATACCATCTAATTAAACTACCGACCGCTTTAATAACTTTTCATTCGGCCGACTGCTTTAATCAAACTACCACCCGCTTTAATGTTCCTACAGTAATTCAAACTATCGACCGCTTTAATAACTTTTCATTCGGCCGACTGCTTTAATCAAACTACCGCCCGCTTTAATGTTCCTATAGCTATTCAAACTACCGCCCGCTTTAATAGCTATTCAAACTCCCTCAAAGTAAGTGCCGTGAGATTAAGCGCACGTGCTTGCTGACTCAGCGAATTTGCATGCGCTTTGTCTTTTCAAGTTAAAGAAAATTAGCATACGAAACCATTGACTGGAACGGGTGGCTTATAAAACCCCACACGTTTTCACTTTGAGTATTCTCAACATGTCTCTAGTACTACATTCTTCTCGAGGCAAAGCTTTTCAGCTAGTGATACAACAGAAAGACTCCAAACCACACGCTTGTCCTGGTCCTGCTATTTGGACAATGTTAGTCACCGTCCCCTTCTTTCCAATACTATATGACGAGAGAGATTCAGGCAGAGTATCTCTTCATAGTTGCGGAGGTGTAGTAGATCTTCACAGAAATATGGCAATGAAGTATGAAGTGCAAGATCTTGGTGCGGATAGCTTCATTCATCGATTTTCTGACTACAAAGCAACGAGTGATGAAGACTTTGCGAAAAGACACGAGCAAGGCAGACCCGTCTTTCCACTGATTGATGATTCCTATACAAAAACTACCGAGTACAAAGCAAGGACAGACGCTGCGTTTGCTGAATACCACGCAGAAAAGGAACGGTGAAGAGAAATTTTCCGACAGATGCTACAGAAGAAAGCTTGAAGAAACAAACAAGCAATCACAAACGGCTCTTTTAGGAGCCACCACCTGAATAAAAGTTATGACCAATACTCAGTCTTGGTAGTATAGTGGTTAATTATCTCTGCCTGTCACGCAGGAGACGCGAGTTCGATTCTCGCCCAAGACAGCTCGTTCATTTTTATGTTTATTGTTCGGGACGGGTTCGATTGTATAGTGGTTGAAAAGATCTTTTTATTTTTTCTGCGTTTGTAAAGCAATCAAATGACAAAAAACAATACGCTTGACTCTGGTAGCCCGAACGGCTATTGTGGGTGTCAGGAATTTGTATGACTACCCAGATGCTTTACTGGAATTACAAGAGACTTTTAAACGCAGTTTACATTTACCTATAGAACAGTGTAAAGAAGTATAGGATTTTTGCAAGGCATTTAGTTTAAGACTGTAATTGAGTTTATAGGAGGATATATAGTACTATAAAAACATTGTTTATTATAAAGCTTAAAAAATGTTTTTGCACAAGTTTTACTTCTGCGCATGCGTAGTACACTGCGCATGCGTACTGCGCAGGGGAACACTATCCCACAAGTATGAGCTGAACCCTTCATCCACATATATAAGTTCCGATTTCCCTTACTTATAATAACGAATATGACCCGAAGATGACCCGAAGACGACCCGACGATGAGGCGCCATCTTGGATTTTTGATGACGTCATCTTGAATAATCTAGGGGTCTAAGCAATTGAGCAATTGAGAAATACCCTATACCCCCCTTCCCTAGAATGTGCCAAGTGGGCCATCAATACTACTAACGCAACACTTCTGATTGGACTAGATTTTTGAAACGTAACTTCTTATTATATGTAATGGTAATAGGACTGAGTGGAGTACAATTCAGGGAGTAATTGGGCGAGTAATTTCTAATCGGCCGAGCGCGTAGCGCGAGGCTGATTTGAAATTACGAGCCCGATTACCCCTGAATTGTACGACACGCAGTCCTATTACCAATTAATTGTGCCAATAACAAAATGGGGGAATCTCAGTCTTGGAATATTTATCAACGTAAGAAATAGATTCCAAAGCAAAAAAATGATTGGTTTCGACTTTGGATGTGGAAGCCCGACCGCATGAAGATCCTTTTTTCAAAAAAGTATATTTTTAATTAAAATACATGTACGCCAATATTTGAACAAAATGGGAGAATTTTTAAAAGTAATGGAATTGAAGTACAGCTTGTTTCGTCACCTTACAGATTGCAAGGCAAATATTATGAACGTCCCAAAGGAACCGGAAATGGTACAGCTTGTTTGAACTGACAAGTGATTGACAACTAGCTCAACATTACCAAATAAGGTGTACGAGATCACCCGCTCATAAAACACTTTCGTTACGGGCGACATTTTCGAGAACGGCTCACATGGTTAACAGCTTTTAACTTTTCAAGCATGAATATTTAGACAAAATGAATAAGTATGTGAGAGAAAACAGTCAATGTTAAAATTCAGTCTTCATCAGAGTCAATAATGTAAGCTCGTTTACGCTTTCGTCTTGGAATACTTGGGCTTGTTATCTCGCCGATCTAACATTCTACTCTCGAAGAACTGGCTTGATTTGTTGACTGCGGCCCAAAGTAGTTTTGGATGTTTACAGTGCAGTTGTGGAATTGCTGAACTGCTGGGTCGTTTGTTCGTGTAATTGGAGACTGGACGTTAGAATACTGATGGGCGAGAGATAAGCGCTTGCTTGGCTGATGGCTGCANCTGGCTTGATTTGTTGACTGCGGCCCAAAGTAGTTTTGGATGTTTACAGTGCAGTTGTGGAATTGCTGAACTGCTGGGTCGTTTGTTCGTGTAATTGGAGACTGGACGTTAGAATACTGATGGGCGAGAGATAAGCGCTTGCTTGGCTGATGGCTGCACCTAGCGATGTTGATGAAGACGTTGCATATTTGCTCGATGGCACAACAACATCTGTTGAAGGTGGAACTGGCAATGAATGCAAGCTTGGCGGTGATGCTTTGCAAGAACTTGTCGTTGTGGATGGTCCAGAATAGCCGCTTATGATATGTGACAGAGTTCTCCTTTCTTCTTCATCAATCTCGTCGTAGTTATCGAGCGAGGTTTCGTTTGCATGGCCCGTGATTTGAATTATTTTGTGCCTAGGTTGTCCGGCCTTCTTTAATTCGGCGACAACTGCTTTTCTGGTGGAATGATTTGAAATCTTCTTTCCATCAATGCTGATCGTCCGTGCTAGGGTCTTCATAATGCTGCCAAGTTTGTGTTCGCCCATCCTGGACTTGGCATACCAAACTTCGGTTTTCGGACGCTGTATTATTGCCAATTACAAAGGCCCAGAGGTTCGCATTCCTTATGGGCGCCTTCTCAGAAATCCTTCAAAAAGCCGGACTGGATCTCTTGGTCCAGCGTCTGTGGCCCACATCTCTTGAGGAGTTTTCCTGTGTTTCGCTGAAAGGCCACCGGAACGGGTCTTTGTTGGATTTTCATTGAAACGAACGCACTTTGCCAATTCTCCTCCCTGGATCTGGATGCACGCAACTTCAAAATCTTGTACATAAGCGTCGTAATGGTCTTGACGGCCACGAAATCCGAAGTGCTCGGACAAATTTTTGAAGTTAACGTTTGTGAGAGCCACTCCATCGTGGTCGCCTAACAGACCGCTTGACCAGAGGGACTCTTCTTCGGCAGAGTTGTACGGGAGAGCGCGATTCTTTCTCTTGCCGTAACCATTGATTTGTAGTTGTTTTGCTTTTGTTTCAAGAACAGACCTTGAAGATGAGAACTTCAGACTATTTATCAGACTGTATGGATATTTCTGGGTGGATAGGTGCTGTTCCAGGGCCGCTTGCATAACTTTAAGTGAGTCCGGTTCATACTCTGAGCCGTATTCCTTTCTCACTTCCAGATAAAATTTTTGGAGGACTCCGTGTAAAGTTGCTGGCGCCATTGTTTCTACACTCTCGTTGATTTGACGTGACTTTGCCCTGGAACACCAAACTCTCATCCGTATTTGTACTTCTTAGCGTGTTCTTATTTTCTGCTTCTTTAGTTGTCTCTCGTATTTGCTCAGTGGAAGTAAGTGGAAACCTGTACTCGTCTGGTGCCGGTAAGTTGTTTGTTTCCGCCAGGACAGCTCGCTCGCACTCTCCGTTTGTTGTATTTAAGACTTCAGGAACTCTATCGCTGTTTTCTTTACTTTCAAGGCTTTCTAAATCAATTGTATGAAACAAGCTGTCAAAGTCTAACGAAAAAAAGTCTGAATAAAAGTAAATGGACCAGTTAGTTTCCTCCATTTTTCTTTTCCAGTTGAAGCTGGACAGCTTACCTGGTCACAATTTTTTCATTGATTTTGATTGGTTATCATGTGCCATGTAGTGAAATTTCATTGGCTAGTGGCATTTGCTACTTGATTTTCACTGGTTCTTTAACTGTCCGATGTGACCTGTCCGATTACAAGCTTCTGGTAATCGGACAGTTTTGGAGTTACATAGCAAAATTAAGCTATAAATAAGAACCAATCATATTCAAGCATTTTGTTATTGACACAATTAGTATAATAATTTACATTTTGAACGAATACTTCGTCATACTAAACCTGTGCTACGAAAATTTAAAATTATACAAAACTTACTTACCTAAAAGAAGATAAAGGATATTTAACCTTAGTAATCCCTGGAATAGTAAGCATAGATCGCGTACATTGTCAGTCAAAATCCATAACTATATACCACGAGGCTTATGCTGTGGATACTATGAAAGTGGAAATTGAGGCGGTTAAAGGTAGAAAAATGAGTTTTAGTCGTTTGTATCATAATCTCCTTCGGTTTTTGGTAAGATGGCTGTCGCCACAATACTAATCTTCCAGCGGGATAGGGTCAGAAAAGATGTTTTAGTTGTAGCTTTCTTGCCCATTTTCATTTTCTCGGTTGTTTCATATGGTTTGTGAGATTTTCCTAGAGACCCCTCATTATTTTTCAACTCTCGGCTCCTGACCTTGAACACGTTTAGCTCCACTACATTTCTAAAGGATATTTAACCTTAGTAATCCCTGGAATAGTAAGCATAGATCACGTACATTGTCAGTCAAAATCCACCACTATATATCACCGGGCTTATGCTGTGAATACTATGAAAGTGGAAATTGAGACGGTTAAAGGTAGAAAAATGAGTCTTAGTCATTCATATCATAATCCCGATCGTTTTTTGGTACGATGGCTGTCACCACAATACTGAACTTTGAGCCTGGTAGGGTAGAAAAGGTGTTTTACTTGTAGCTTGCTTTACCACTTTCAATTTCTTGTCAGTTTCAAATGATTTGTGAGATTTCCTAGTGTACCGGCAATAGACTCCCATTATTTTTCAAGTCTTGGCACCTGACTTGCAAGATATTTAGCTTTATTGCATTTCTGACCCTACCTATCTAAACAAATGTTCTGTTACGCAGTTAATTGGTAATTTCAAGAAGGGTCTTTTCTTTAGAATCAATTAAATTATAGATATTACCCGACTACCGCATACGATATTATATCTCATATTTGCATACGATGGGTCTTATAATAAAGGGACTTTAATAGTGATAATTATCCTGTTAAAAGAAAATGTAATAAATATTGATTGTCACGTCATAATTTCTAACTTCTTTTTTGTTTTCTATATGAACTCTTGCCGACACATCAGCTTGTGAGTATCGTTTCTTTTTCTATCTATTTCGGGCGCACCTGCACTTATTTTAGAAGTCTGTCCCATTCCCGCCTGTTGGCCATAAGATATGCAAGATTTGATTTTATAAACAATTAAATTATAGATAGTACCCGACAACCGCATACGATGTTATAACACATATTTGCATACGATGGGTCTTATAATAAAGGGACTTTAAAAGTGATAATTAACCTGTGGAAAGAAAATGTAATGAATTTTGATTGGCACGTCATAATTTCTTACTTTTTTTTGTTTTCTATATGGACTGTTCCCGACACATCAGGTTGTAAGTATCATTTAATTTTCTATCTATTTCGGGCGCACCTGCACTTATTTTATGTCTCTCCCATTCCCGCCTGTTGGCCATGACATATGCAAGATTCGATTTTATAAACAATTAAATTATAGATAGTACCCGACCACCGCATACGATGTTATAACACATATTTGCATAGGATGGGTCTGATAATGAAGGGACTCATTAAATAAATGAATTTTATTCGTACACGTCATAATTTTATACTTCTTTTTTGTTGTTTTCCATATGGACTCTTGTCGATACATTAGATCGTAATTAAATATTATTTGATTTCCAGTGACGGTTAATAAGTCACTGCAGAGAAATGCATAATGACTTTGTTCCGATTCCTTCAAACACAAAACTTCTGATATGACTAGATTTTTAAAGCAAAACTTTTTGAGATATGTACAATGACTTACCTTTTCACTAAATCCTACATCTGCATGGTAAGGCTGTGATACCAAAATTTAAAATTGGACTAAACTTAGTTACCTAAAGGATATTTAGTCTTAGTAATCCCCGGAGTAGTAAGCTTAGATTAGGTACATTATCAAAATCCACAACTGTATAGCACGGGGTTTATGGTGTGGATACCTTGAAAGTGGACGTTTAATCGGTTAAAGATAGAAAAATGAGGTTTAGTCATTCACATCATAATCTCCTTCGGTTTTTGGTACGATGCCTGTCACCACAATACTGATCTTCGAGCCGGATAGCGTCAAAAAAGATGTTTTAGTTGTATCTTGCTTAGCCATTTCCATTTTCTTGTCAGTTTCGTATGGTTTTTGAGGTTCTTCTACTGTATCAAAAGGCTTCACATAGTTTTTTGAGTCTTAGCTCCCGACTTACAACAGATTTAGCTCTAGTAGGTTTCTGACGTTACTTGTTTAAACAAATGTTTGGTAACGCAATTTCAAGTTTCTTGAATTTTGTAATTTCATGGAGAGTACATTCTTTATAATTGATTAATATATTATAGAAAAACTAATTTGCATACCAAGATGGCTGGACGCGTTACCACGTTGTCCGTTAATTTTGGCCTCCTGCTCTGCCTGTTTCTTATCTTGAATGGCATAAAACAAAACAAATCATCAACGAAGCCACTAAGCAATAGTACTGACTTACAAGACATTTAGCTTTATTACACTTCTGACCCTACCTATCCAAACAAATGTTTTGTTACGCAGTTTAAACTTTTTTGAAATTGGAAATTTCATGGAGGGTCTTTTCTTTACAAACAATTAAATTATAGATAGTAACAATTAAATTATACGATGTTATAACTCATATTTGCATACGATGGGTCTTATAATAAATGGACTTTAAAAGTAATAATTAACCTGTGAAAAGAAAATGTAATGAATTTTGATTGTCACGTCATAATTTCTTACCTTTTTTTGTTTTCTATATGGACTCTTGGATTGTCACGTCATAATTTCTTACTTAATTTCTTACCAGTTTCAAATGATTTGTGAGATTTCCTAGTGTATCGGCAATAGACTCCCATTATTTTTCAAGTCTTGGCACCTGACTTGGAAGACATTTAGCTTTATTACATTTCTCACCCTACCTATCCAAACAAATGTTTTGTTACGCAATTTAAACTTTTTTGAAAGTGGTAATTTCATGGAGGGTCTTTTCTTTACAAACAATTAAATTATAGATAGTACCCGACTACCGCATAGGATGTTATAACTCATATTTGCATACGATGGGTCTTATAGTAAATGGACTTTAAAAGTGATAATTAACCTGTGAAAAGAAAATGTAATGAATTTTGATTGTCACGTCATAATTTCTTACTTTTTTTTGTTTTCTATATGGACTCTTGCCGACACATCAGTTCGTAAGTATCATGTCATTTTCTATCTATTTCGGGCGCACCTGCACTTATTTTAGAAGTCTGTCCCATTCCCGCCTGTTGGCCATGACATATACAATACTGATCTTTGAGCCGGATAGCGTCAAAAAAGATGTTTTAGTTGTATCTTGCTTAGCCATTTCCATTTTCTTGTCAGTTTCATATGGTTTTTGAGGTTCTTCTACTGTATCAAAAGACCCCACATAGTTTTTTGAGTCTGAGCTCCCGACTTACAACATATTTTTGTTACGCAGTTTCAAGTTTTTTGAATTTAGTAATTTCATGGAGAGTCCATTCTTTATAATTGATTAATATATTATAGCTGGTTCCCCACCACAGTATACGATTTTTAACTCCTATATGCTTAGGGTGGGGTTTATTTTGTTTTATTTTTTATAACAAAAAGACTTTGACAGTAATAATTTAAACTGTTAAAAGATAAAGTTATGAATTTTGGTCGTTCAGATCATAATTTCGAACTTCTTTTTTTGTTTTCTATATGGAATCTTTACGATACATCAGGTCGTATATGTCATTTGAATTTCAGTGACCGGTAATAAGTCAATTCATCGAAATGCAAAATAACTTTGTTCTGATTGCTCTAAACGCAACACTTCTATTGAAACGTAAATTCTTAATAATTTACATTTTAACCAAATAATTCGTCATACTAAACCTGTGCTACCAAAATTTAAAATTAGACAAAACTTACTTACCTAAAGGAAGCTAAAGTATATTCAACCTTAGTAATCCCTGGAATAGTATGCATTGATCACGTACATTGTCAGTCAAAATCCATATCTAGATACCGTCGATTGCGTCTACCCGTGAACGCACGCGCGCAAAACATGTTTTCACGTGACGTCAAACGTCTGACATGCAGGCGTCAAACTTTGAAGTTTTCCCTTCCACATGTGAAGTTTCCTCGGTAGAGTCGGTGTTCTCGTGGTTCACTCTGTTGTCTTGACCGTTCACTGTCAGCGCGATCAAGAAATCAGAGTAAAATCAGCGAAAATCTCTTCACTGATATGGAGAGGCGAAAAAGTATCGAGGACTTCCTCAGAGAAGTGGATGAAGATTTATTTATATATGCTGGTGAATTACGAAGCAATGGTGTAAAACGATATTTTTGGGTATAAGT